TAGAACTATACTAGCATCAGGCAGTAAAGATTAATATATCCGATTATGGAATATTAAGCGAATATAACTTTAAGCTAAATTTTATGGTCACAAAGGTGGAGTTAACTCAATATGCTTCTCTCCTAATGGTAATACATTAGCTTCTGGTAGTGATGATAAGACTATCCGTTTGTGGGATGTTACAACAGAATAATAAAAAGCTATATTGAATGGTCATACTAGTTACGTCTACTCAATATGCTTTTCTCTCGATGGTAGTACGTTAGCATCCGGTAGCGAGGATAAGTCTATCCGATTGTGGGACATTAAGACAGGATAATAAAAAGCTATATTGGATGATCATAGCAATTCAGTTTGGTCAGTATGCTTCTTTCCTGATGGTTGTACATTAGCATCTGGTAGTGAAGATAATACAATCCGTTTGTGGGATGTCAAGACAATATTATAAAAAACAAAATTGGATGGTCATAGTGATTCTGTAAGATCTATATGCTTCTCTCCCGATGGAACTACATTAGCATCTGGTAGTTGTGATAAGTCTATAGGTTTATGGGATGTTAAGACAGGATAATTAAAAGCCTTGTTGAAAGATCATGAAAATTATGTCAACACAGTGTGTATCTCTTCCGATGGTACAATGTTAGCATCTGGAAGTGCAGATTGCTCCATCATATTATGGGATATTAAAATTGAGTAATAAAAAACCAAATTGAATGGACATTAAAAATGTGTGCGTACAGTATGCTTCTCTTCTTCTGGTTCTATATTAGCGTCTGGAAGTGATGATAAGTCAATCCGTTTATGGGATGTTACAACAGGATAATAAAAGGCTTAATTTAATGGCCATACAAATTATGTCAACACAGTGTGCTTCTCTCCTTGTGGTTTTATGCTAGCGTCTGGTAGTTGGGATAAATCTATAGTTTTGTGGGATATTAAGGCAGGATTATAAAAGGCCTAATTAAATGGCCACACAAATTATGTCAACACAGTGTGCTTCTCTCCTTGTGGTTTTATATTAGCGTCTGGTAGTTGGGATAAATCTATTCTTTTTTGGGATATTAAGACAGGATTATAAAAAGCTAAGTTTTATGGTCATACTGATGTTGTTAACACTGTATGCTTTTGTCCTAATGGTAATAAATTTGCATCTGGTAGTGAGGATAAATCGATACGTTTTTTGAATATTAAAAATGGTGAAGAAATTTAAGCTTAGGATCATAGTTACCTTGATCCTTTAACATAATTTAATACTCCACTATTTTAACACTTTCCACCTCCATAAGGTTTTATTTATTTAATTATATAGAGTAACCTCTAATATAACGATTCTTCTTATATCTAAATAAGCAATGTTATAAACATTAGAAGCTCTAATTTACAAAGGATAATTTTAGAATTAATCAGGCATAGATTTGAAAACATTATTTAAACAAAAAGGAAGTTTTTTTTTGGAAGGTTAATCAAAAGTAAAATGACAGATTTATCGATTATTATTAAGAATGTTACATGTATTAAATTGTAATAAATTTATTTTTATTATGTATTTCTCCTCTTTATAGTTCAATGATTTAAAATAAATCAAACAAAATAAAATTGAGTTTTTTTTAATAACAGTTTAATTGTTAAATATATTAAGACAATATACAACTAAAATTAATAAAGTTCTTAGAATTCATTTTGTAATTAGAAAATTTGGATAGAAACCAGGAAAATAGTGATTTTAACTAAATAGATTTTAGATTTAATAAATTAATCGATAGAAGATCTTGGGGGAATTGCGTACTTTTTTTTACATTCTTCAAAATTGATTATGCATTAAAATTTGTTTGGATAAAGATAAAAATATGAATTATTTTATAAGTAATAGTTTGATTATTTACACTAATAATGGTTTGAGAGATTCCTTTAAGAAGTGAATTCATTATGATATCTAAAGTAATTTTATTTTTATCTTAGAATTTTTGATTTTTAACTCTGCTGATTAAATTAATTTAAAAACTGTTTTTATAATAATATAAAGACAATTTTGTATATATGACGGCTTCCATTATATTTATCATAAATAAATTATTAATTTTCTACAATAGCATAAATTAGAAAATAAACTATTAATATTTATTTTTGGGTAATTAAATTATCATAATATCTTGATTTTCTTTTTTTTTTATATAATGATCTTCAAATTCATGAGAAGTATTCAAGGAATTGCAAATTCTAGAAGAATTTCTTTTAAAACTCAAATTTTAAGTTTCTGGCTCTTTACGTTTGAGTGGCTTGCTGTGAGCGACGGAAATATGTGCTAGATAATTAATTAAGTTTCTACTTTTCCCAGTTCTTCAGATGTTGCCTATTCTAATGAGTTGGCAAATTATATGTATGAATATAGCTCTAATGTTCTGTTAGCATCTTGAAGTATTTGCAATTCTTTGCATAAATTTCTAGGTCTTTGAAGACCATTATTTTAA